CCTTTCAGAATATTCCAGGTCAAAGACATCATTTATTTTTAAAGTTTATTTGAGAGAGAGTGCACACACGTGCACATGAGCCAGGGGAGGGTCGGAGATGGGGAGAGAGAGAATCCTGAGCAGAGCCTCACTGAGCCCAGCCCTCAGTGCACCTCTAACTCAGGAACTCTGGGATCATGACCTGAGCCAAGATCAAGAGTCACACACTTAACTGAGCCACCCAGGTGTCCCTTAAAACTCATTTTGTAAAGTAATTTCATTGTAGTCTGAACCAGCTTGATCACACATTAAAATTTCTTCCAAAGACTCCTTTTCCAACAAACATGTAACTTTCTTCCCCTACATTTTGGTTTTGTCATGTGTTTTTCTTTAATTTGTTTTCCCCTTAACAAAAATTCATCTCTAATTCTCATACTTGTTTTTAGTGAAAACATATCTTACTTTCTTGGCATTTGGAGATGTTTCCCTTATTTTTAGTAGTTTCAATTACATGTATTAATTTGAATTTTTAACCTTAGAAACGAATTTCTAGTGAAAACTAAGAAGTAAGCAACTGTGAATGGTCTGGTAACCAACAGTCCTTAAATTTGCAAATATATGAATACATTTTATAATTTCAAGAAACGTGTGTCTCTTTGAATTTTTTAAAATATTTTTGAGAGAGAGAGGGAAAGTGAGTAAGGGAGGGGCAGAGAGCGAAGGGACAGAGGTTCTGAAGCAGGCTCTGTGTTAATGGAACTGAGCCTGATTTGGGGCTCAAACTCACAAATGAGCTCTGAGATCATGACCTGAGCTGAAGTTGGACACTTCACCTACTGAGCTACTCAGACTAAGTATTTTACTGTAACATTAACACATCTAAACCTCTTTTAATTTCTCTGTCATAAGAATCCAAAGGTACATAGACTTGTGTTTAGTAATTAATGTTTTAGTACTTTGTCCTATTTGGAAAGGATCTAGATATTTAATGAATTTATCTTAACTCATCATTTAACTTAGCAAAACTTTAAGTTTTCAAGTTACTAAAAAGATTTAGAGAACTGTTTTATGTCTCTATTTTTTTATTTTTTTGAGAGACCAAGAGCGAGTAGGGGAGGGGCAGAGAGAGAGAGGGAGACACGGAATCCGAAGCAGGCTCCAGGCTCTGAGCTGTCAGCACAGAGCCCAATGGGGGGCTCAAATCCACCAACTGTGAGATCATGACCTGAGCTGAAGTCAGCCACTTAACCTACTGAGCCACCTAGGTGCCTCTGGAGACACTATTTTAAAAGGTTACCTAAAACTTTTTATTTATTTGCTAAATAATTATATTTAAATTACCTACCAAACATTAAGCATTAGACAAAATCAGCCAGTATCCCAATCTGCTATTTTTTGGTGGGCAGATGTAAACAATATCTTAGGTAGAATAAAAGTTATGTATTTAATGGTGATAACTCTAAAGATATGTCTGTTTTGAAAGTAGTTTTCATATCAAATCTATTTTCAGATCACATGAACTTGAAAAACATTTGAGTTAGTTTCTAGCTTTCTGAGAGTTTTAGAATGCCCAAATTTTATAAGCACTTGCCTTCAAACCAACTAAATAGAACTCTTTTACAAATTAATTTTAGCAGTACCATTTGGAGTTTGAAAAAATCTCATACTTACAACATATATGGACACAAATACATAGGTGAAGTATAAACAAAAATTTATAGCTTTTGTTTTTACTAATATTTCCAAATACCTCCTTGTTTTTATTTATCTTTTGGATGAAAACTTCTCCCTAAAGTTTTGCATTTTAAAGAATGGCTCTTAGGTCCTAGAGAAGGTGGGGTAGAAAATTTACAGAAAAAGTATCCAAGTTTTCCTCAAGGTGGAGATTTGGAGCATATCTGTCTGTTATCAGAGGTGCTAGAGTCTGGGCCTAAGAAGCCTTTCCATAGTTTGTATTTAAAAGGGCGCCTGGCTGGCTCAGTCAGTAGAGCATGTGACTCGTGATCTAGTGGAGGCTACTTAAAGAGAAGAAAAAAAAAAGGGCCTTTTTCCACCACTTTTTTTCCCATTAGTCTCAGGTGATTGCAGAGTGTGCTTACATTTCAGAGATGTGATAAGATTTCATCATTCCAAGGGACAGAGGAAGTAAAAAATATTTTTATAAGAGCGTCAGGATAATTGCAATTTAAAATTTACCTTTTTTCTTAAGTACAGGACAATTTTGTTTCAATATCCTGGCCTTTTATAATATGTGCATTTTGAAAATAGACAAGGTTTAAAGATTGTTAAAAATAGGTGGATTTTGACTTGTTTCTAGAGTTTCATTTCTGGTCTTGGAGATTTGTAAGACAAAGACCGTTTTTCTCCAGAGAACTGGGTCACAGCCTGAATATCAAGGAACTGGCTCACCTTTTTAAATGGATTTACTTCTTTTTATCAGGGAGATTTTTACCGAAAATGAGAATCAAAAGATTGCTGTCTTTGTACAAGTCTGTATAAAATAAAGCATTTTAACAGAAGCCTTCTTTCTGGTTATACAGTTCAACCTTGGCATCTCTAAGCCTTCTATTAGTATAAAGTATTAACTTTATCCTTTAAAATGTTTGCTGCTGTTCAGGGAACATGAATTCTCTGGTGGACGGTGGGGGGTGGCTAGGATACATCTGCAAAGGTCATTGCATGAAAATGCCTGAAGCGGAATGGGATTGATCATAGTAAACCAGACCCTCCAGTTTGTTCCCCAGGCTTCTGCTAAATTCACTTTCTGCTTTCAACATTTACAAGAATAGCTGATATACTTTGAACCTAGAGATTAGGCTGGCGTGCTCTCTGTGAATCTTGTAGAGAATGGGAAGTTAAAACAGACAGGGCTGAGATGGCCAACAGACACATGAAACGATGCTCAGCATCCCTCCTCATCAGGGAAATACAAATCAAAACCACACTGAGATACCACCTCAATCCAGTCAGAGTGGCTAAAATGAGCAGATCAGAGAACTCTAGATGCTGGCGAGGATGTGGAGAAACGGGCACCCTCCTACACTGTTGGTGGGAATGTAAACTGGTACAGCCCCTCTGGAAAACAGTGTGGAGGTTCCTCAGGAAGCTAACAATGGAACTCCCCTATGACCCAGCTAGCACTGCTAGGAATTTACCCAAGGGATACAGAAATGCTGAGGCATAGGAGCACATGTACCCCAATGTTCATAGCAGCACTCTCAACAATAGCTAAAACATGGAAAGAACCTAAGTGTCCATCAACAGAAGAATGGATCAAGAGGATGTGGTTTATCTATACCATGGAGTACTACATGGCAATGAGAAACAATGAAATCTGGCCATGTGTAGCAACATGGATGGACCTTGAGGGTGCTATGCTGAGCGAAATAAGTCAGGCAGAGAAGGACAAATATCATATGTTTGCACGTATAGGAGGATTAGGAGGAACTTGACGGAGGAACAAGGGGGAGAAGAAGGGCGGAAATGGTGGGGGAAAGGGAGAGAGGCAAACCATGAGAGACTCTTGAATGCTGACAAAAACTGAGGACTGATGGATGTGGGGGGGGGGGAGGGATGGGCATGGAGGAGGGCACTTGTGGGGATGAGCACTGAGTGTTATGTGGAAACTAATTTGACAATAAACTATTTGTAAAAAAAAAAAACTGAGGACTGATGGATATGGGGGGGAGGAGGGATGGGCATGGAGGAGGGCACTTGTGGGGATGAGCACTGAGTGTTATGTGGAAACTAATTTGACAATAAACTATTTGTAAAAAAAAAAAAATTAAAAAACAGACAGGGCTGGATTTTAAGAAGGGGAAGTTTTGGGGTGCCTGGGTGGCTCAGTCGGTTAAGCCTCTGACTCTTGGTTTCAGCTCAGGTCCTGATCTCACAGTTTGGTGGGTTTGAGCCTGGCATCAGGTTCTGCGCTAACAGCACAGAGCCTGCTTGGGATTCTCTCTCCCCCTCTCCCTCCCCCCTTCTCCCCCTCTCCCCCTTCTCCCCTCCCTGGTGCCCCCCTCCCCCGTCTCTCCCCCTCTCCCCCCCACTTCCCCCCCCCGCTCACGCTCTTTGTGTCTCCCAAAATAAATAAACTTAAAAAAAAAGGGTTATTTTCATTGGATGTGGACATTTATTTGTCTTCAGTCTAATTTTTGTTCTTTAAAGTTTATTTAAACTTTAGAGAGTGCATGTGAGAGTATCTTTGGTTAAGCCATAAAAAGGCTTACTGAGAGGGGGGTCATTAAAATTAATAAGACCCTACTTGTCAATGGCCAGACAACAGAGCCTTTAAATTGGCTACACTGGGAAAAAAAATTATTTCTAAAGAGCTCTCAGTTGCCTTATTAGTAGAATGGCTAGCTTTAGGGACTCCTTTGACAAGATAAAAGAACAAAAATTAGGGGCACCTGGGTGGCTCAGTGGGTTGAGCATCTGACTTTTGGCACATGCATGGCACATCCATGCAGTAGAATATACAACCTAAAGAGAAGGTGAAGCTTTTTAACATGGATGTGAAAGATCTCCAAGATACATTGTTAAATGAGAAAAAAGAGGGAGGGCATGAAACGTGGGATGAGGGTGTGTATACGTACTCGTATAGACAAAGGTCTCTGGAAAGACACGGGATCTAGTAACAGCAGATCCCTTTGAAAGTGGAGGGGTGGTCATTGGGCAGGTAAGGGATGAGGTGGGAGAGAGTCTACCCTGAATTTCTTCTTACACTTATTTGGTTTTTAAACCACTATTAGCCTAAGTAAAGGTCAAGCAGAATTATAATAAAAATCTAAGAAAATGTTTCACTTTCCAACACGCCTTATTGGCATTATTAATACCGCCATTTTGGCTTAATGTCTATTTGTAAGGTTATTTTGAATTAAGGTTATTAGTTTAAGTTATTAAAATGATCCAAAATTATTAGAAATAAGCTATTAGGTCATAAATAGTAAAAGGGATCACAGAATGGGAGACACTAGCAGAGCCTGGGTCTCACTGTCTTTCACCTTGTTCTTGTCTTTTAGATGGTTCCTTCATCAGCTTCAGGCCAAGTTCGAGGTTATTACGTAGACTGGAAAATGCTGCGTGACGTCAAGAGACGAAAACTTGCCTATGAATATGCAGATGAGAGGCTTCGAATCAATTCCCTCAGGAAGAATACCATTTTGCCGAAAGACCTTCAGGTGAGCTAATTAAGATGCGTCCCCATGTACCACAAGATCATTCTCCTATCAGAGCATTGTTGATACTGTTGTGACTTAGTAACAAAATAATTTCTGGAGAATATGATCAAATTCTCCCAGTCAATACAAATTAATACCCTTGAAGTGATATTGGTGAATTTCAGATTAAAGAGAACTTTTCATTCCTAACTAGCCTTTTAACTGTTTCAGTAGATGGCCCTTAGAAAGTACTGGTGCATGGTAGTCACACAGAAATTGGACAGTTATTTTGACCTAGGGTCTCTCCCCCATTTCTTCGCACTCTTTCAACTCTCAAGGTATTGGGAGACTGTGCTGATGATTGAGGCCATGTGCGTCATTTGTGGCCTAAGCTGTTCCTCACCCAGGGCAATGGGCGCCTTCATCTCTGACCTCCTTCACCCACCTTTGTGTCCATCTGGTTTACTTTCTTGTCATATTCCTTAACTTAAAAGGATGTCAACCCTGTTTGGTTTCCTGAGACATATGGGTCCTACACCTGGGTGGTAACACAGCACACCCGCATTCACAAGTCTTCTTGAGAACCTAAGCTCAAACTCAAGACTACTCACACTATCGAAAGCTGAGAGTGAAATAAAAAACCACTTATAGAAGCTGGCTGAATAATATACAGGCCATTCATTACCATTAATTCTTTTAAATCGTGTCTAGATTAGCCAGATCAGTGGAAAACCGAACGTCCTACACCATTATTACAGCTTTTACCATACAGCATTAAGCTACTTGCTTATATTACGGAGTAATAAGAGGAGGCCTCTGAGAAACAACTTAAGATGTTGTGGAGAACGTTATTTATAAAGACCCTCCACCCCCATTCCCCACTCAGAAGAAATGGCTCTGGTATAAAAACCAGCAATAGCTGTTCGAAGACTGTGAGTTACAGAAGCTGATCCTGGCTCTGAGTTGCCTACCAAGTAGTGTACAGATCAGACTTCTGTCCCAGTTCTGACAGACTTCTAGGCTTTTCACAGTACACGCTATTGACTCCTGGTCCCTGTTCCCCAATTTCCTTATTTGTAAACTGACTTAAATCTTTTTAGGAACAAGGAGAGGTATATATGTATATATAATAGGTAAATACATACATAATACATAGCTATTTTAGGACAGCCTCCATGAAACTTGACTTCCGGCCTGTTCTCCTTTCTAGTCCACTTTATATTTAAAAGTGGCACATACTATCTACCATTCATTGACTTAATTGTATTTTATAGAATTCACTAAATATTTCATAACGGCAACACATGCACGAGCTTTTGGAGATTAGGAAAGAAATTTTTTTTTCAGCTGTGCAACATACATATTTGATTTGCTAATTCTATATATTACTCTGTGTACCATGATAAGTGTAGCCATTGTCACCATACAATGTTATCACAATATTATTGACTATATTCCCTATCTCTGTGACTTACTTATTTTATAACTGGAAGTGTATAACTCTTTTTTAAAGATCGAAGTATAATTAACATATACTGTTATAAGTTTCAGGTAACTAACACATTGATTCAATAATTTTGTACATTACTCAGCCATAAATGTAATCACCATGCAACATTATTGCAGTATTATTGACTGATTTCCCCATGCTGTACTTTCCTTTTTTTTGTTTTTTAATTGAAGTATAGCTCACGCACACTGTCCTGTTAGTTTCAGGTGTACAATAGTAATTCAACAACTCTATGCACTGCTGTGCTCTCCACTGGAGTAGTTACCATCTGCCACCATATAACACTATTTATGATACATTAAATATATTCCTTATGCTGTACCTTTCCTCCCTGTGACTTCTTCATTTCATAACTGGAAGCCTGCACTTCCTGTTCTCCTTCACCCCTTTTGGCCATATACCCACGTACTTGCCCTCTGACAATCATTGGTTTTCTGTTTTTTGTGGGTCAGTTTCTATCTTAGTTATTTGATTGTTTTGTTTTTTAGATTTCATATATAAGTGAAATCATATGGCTTTTGTCTTTCTCTGTTTTACTTATCTCACTTAGTATAATAACCTGTAAGTCCATCTGTGTTATTACAAACGGCAGGATCTCATTGTTTTTTTTTAAGGCTGAGTAATATTCCATTGTATATACATATACATCTTCTCTATCCATTCATCTATCATTGGACACTTGGGTGCTTACATATCTTGACTATTGTAGATAATGCTATAATAAGAATAAGGGTACATATATTGTTTCAAATTAGTGTTTCTGTTTTCTTTGGACAGATACCCAGTAGTGGATTATTGCATTGTATAGTATTTCTGTTTTTTCATTTTTTGAAGAAACTTCATACCGTTTCCCATGGTGGCTGCACCAATTTATACTCCCACCAACAGTACAGGATAATTCCATTTTCTCGACATCCATGCCAATATTTAATCCTACCCATTCTGAAAGTTGTAAGGTGATACCTCATTGTGGTTTTGATTTTGATGGTTAGTGATGTTGAGCATCTTTTCATTTGTCTGTTGGCCATCTGTGTCTTCTTTGAAAAAATGTCTATGCAGGCCTTCTGCCTATTTTTTAATTGCATTATTTGCTTTTTTGGTATTGAGTTGTATATGTTTACATATTTTTATGTAAATATAAATTGTATATTTATATATTTTGATATTAACCCCTTATCAGATGTATTATTTGGAGATGTCTTCTCTCATTCAGTAGGTTGTCTTTTTGTTTCATTGATGATTTCCTTTGATGTGCAAAAGCTTTTTTTGGTGTAGTCCCAATAGTTTATTGTGTTTTTGTTTTTCTTGGAGATATATATAGAAAAATATTGCTCAAGTCAGTGTCCAGGAGATTACTACCTATGTTTCCTAGGAGTTACGGGGTTGCAGTTTCTTACATTTAGGTTTTTATCATATTGAGTTTATTTTTGCATGTTGTGTAAGAAAGTGGCCCAGTTTCCTTCTTCGGCAGGTAGCAGTGTAGTTTTCCCAACCACATTTATTGAAAAGACTGTCGTTTCCTCACTGTGTACATCCTTGCTTCCTTTGTTATAGATTAATTGACCATATAAGCATGGATTATTCCTGGGCTCTCTAGTCCTATTCCATTGACCTAGTGTATCTGTTTTTGTGTGGGTACCATGCTGTTTTGATTGTTACAGCTTTGTAGTATATCTTGAAATCTAGGTTTGTGATACCTCCAGCTTTGTTGTTTCTCAGGTTTGCTTTGGCTATTCAGGGTCTTGTGTGGTTCTAAACAAATTTTAGTATTACGTGTTTTAGTTCTATGAAAAATCCTGATAGGGATTGCACTGAATCTGTAGATTGCTTTGGGTAGTATGGACATTTAAACAATATTGAGTTTTCTAATCCATGACCATGGAATATCTATTTGCTTGTGTCATTTCAATATCTTTCATCAGTGTCTTCTAGTTTTCAGGGTTTTTCACCTCATTGGTTAAATTGGCAAACATACTAGAAGTAGTACGTTAATCACGTATGAAGCCAATATGGGAATTAAAATGCTAAAGTAGTAAAATCCATTTTATCTACAAAAATTAGTCTAAGGATACACAAAATAAGATGTAAAATATGACATCATATACATAAAACATGGAGGGGATTGATTTAGTGCTTTTAGTGTATGTTTGAATTTAAGGTACAGTTAACATAATACAGATTGTTAAACACTTAAGATGCTATATATAACCCTGTGGTAACCACAAATGAAGAAGTTATAGTAGATACACAAAAGATAAAGAGACGAAATCCAAGTGTAACACTAAAAGACATCAAATCCCAAGCGAAGAGAACAAGAGAAAGGGGGGAAAAAACCCCGACAAAAACTACAAAAATAATAAGGACACAGTCAACAAACTGGTAATAGCTGTGTGTGTGTGTGCATATATATATGCACATATATGCATATATATATTAGTAATTACTTTAAATGTGAGTGGACTTAATGCACCAATCAAAAAGATATAGGGTGGGGCGCCTGGGTGGCTTAGTCGGTTAAGTGTCCGACTTTCGCTTAGGTCATAATCTCGCGGTTCGTGGGTTCAAGCCCCGCGTCGGGCTCTGTGCTGACTGCTAGCTCAGAGCCTGGAGCCTGTTTCAGAGTCTGTGACTCCCTCTCTCTCTGACCCTCCCCAGCTCATGCTGTCTGTCTGTCTCTCTCTCGCTTCTAGAAATAAATAAAACATTAAAAAAATTAAAAAAAAAACAAACATATAGGGTGATGGAGTAGATTAAAAAAAAAAAAAAGACCCATCTATACACTGCCTACAACAGATGAACGTCAAGATCTAAAGATGTATACAAACTGAAAATGATGGGATGGAGAAACATATACCATGCCAGTAGAAATGAAAAACAAAAAGCCAGGGTAGCAATACTTTAGGTACGCTTTCTGCACTGTGGGGACATCAGAGGGAGAGGCAAAGCAAGATTTCTTTGTTGAGATGGTAGAGCCCACCCCTAGCACCCCACAGGATTGTGCCAGCCCATCATCCCCACATGCAAGTAATTCACAGGAAAAGAACCTGTGAATGTAACACTTAGAGAACTATTAAGGAAAACTAGATCTTCATTTTAATTCCTGTTACAGTGTGGTAAAACATCTTAAAGTAGAATAAAGAAAATGATCAGACTTTTTCAGAGAAACCAGCATCTTCAACAGAAGAAAACTGTTTGGAATTTCAAAAAAAGTTTTAAACATATAGACAATGAATTTGGAGAAAGAGCATATTTGAAAAATACCTTCAAGAATATCAGTTCAGCGGCACCTGGCTGGCTCAGTTGGTAGAGCATGTGACCCTTGATCTTGGGGTTGTGAGTTCAAGCCCCACTTGAGTATAGCAATTACTTTAAAAAAAAATAAAATTTGTGACAGGCATGGATACTCTTTTTTTAATCTAAATTGATACTGAGTCATACAGTGACCTCTAAAGTGATGCTGTGAATGCGGATCTTCTCAGATAAGGATTAAGTGTGAAGAAAAAGCAAAATT